CGGGACGCCACTGCGCACGCTCGCGCCCCGCCCGGTTGAGCCCGCCCCTCCGCGCGCGCTCCCGACATCCGTCCGCTGAGCGTGGCCGCGCGCGCGCTCTCCGGGCCCGGAGGCGGCGGCCGGGCTTTCCTGTCAGTCTGCCCCGCCTCACGGAAGCCGCGCACTACGCGTGCGCCGACGCCCGTGCTCCCCGTGGAGCAGCAGCCCCGGAAACGACCTCCGCTCTGTCGCCGGGGAAGGCCCGGTAGCTTCTCTGCGCCGGCGAGGTACGCGTCCCCTCCCAGGCCGCGAGCGCGCAGCTGGCCCCGCCCCGGCTGGTCTGTGCGCGGCGGGGGCGGGGACGGCTCTCCAGCCCGGCGGGTCCCGGAAGCCCGCGCGGCACCCAGGTTCGCCCGGGCCGCTCCGGAGTCGCGGGGACGGCGGACGTGCTCGTCCCTCGGAGGCTACGGAAGCCGCGGTTGTCAGGGCGGCGTCTCCCTGCAGACTTCACGTGCGGAAAGGGTGGACGGCGTCCAGCGCTTAAGGACGGTCCAGGCCCGTTTCTTCCCGTGCTGGCTTGGTCGACGTGCATCGCCCCATCCGCTTTTGCACGGACAAAGCAATGCAAAGCAGTGCATAGGGCGAACATGCTTAGGGCACAGCACACCGAGCTTACATAGTGACGCACCGCATCCCGGAGTTCCCCGCCGGGGTGCTTTCTAGCCTGACCTCTGTCAGCGCCTTTGCTTTTCCTTTTGGCTTTGCCACATACAACGCATGTAATCCAGGTTTCCTTTGCCTGACTGGGTTTTTATGAATGGAGGCATACTGTAGGTGTTTTTGCTTTCAAGTACTATTACCTTTAATTGCAGATAATTTTCATAATTGTCTAGTATTCCATTGTGTGAATATAGCAGTGTATCCATTCAGCTGTTGACGTGCGTTTTGTTCCAGTTTAGGGCGTCTCAGAACAATGCTATAGACATTCTTGAACCTGGACCTTAATGCAAAGTACTGGAGTTTCCAAGACATCAAGATACAAGATATATGCCTTGGAGTCCTAGGAGAATTGTAAATTCAGAAGGTATGAGTAACTACCAGATCATTCAGATTTTGGCTTGAAGTGCTACAAAGTTAACTTCCAGAATAGGACTCACCTTCACCTTCTTTTGCTGAATCTGGAGTCTTTACCCAACCCTTTCCCATTAAAAATAGGTTTTCTCACTGAGCACTTAGAAGTGCTAAACAGCAATGAGTTTTTAACTAGAGTACTAATTAATGTTCTCATGTGATTATCATTTGATGACTGTAAAAAGCCGGGCTGAGAATGTAGCCCAGTGGTAGATTGGCTACCTAATACGCATCAGGCCTCCTGAGTATATAATTCTCGGTATCAGACTAAACAAATAAATAATCTTAACGGAAGTCTTCACAGAGGTCTTTCTTGCAAACATTCTTACAAGGGCAGAAGAACATTTAGACATTGTAACTGCAAACCTCTTCTGTTTATTGGGCATCTCTGAATCACTGTCAAACCAGAGCTCCAACATTCCATACTGTCCTGTTTCTGTAGACTCCCTGATACCTTAGAGTGAATGCTGTTAGGTAAATAGTGCATATCGGCCTTGCTGGAGAGGCTGGGGTACAGGAAGTAAGTACCCTGACTCCAGCTGTTCACCTTTCTAAGGCTTTAATGAAGACTGAACAGGCTTTTCTGAGCTTGACTATGGATCCACAGTGCTTTTAGGCACGATGTAGTTTACTGTCAGTGTCGTGTCCCGCGCACCCCTTCCTCTGAGTTTAAGGAAAAGACCAAGAGTGGTGAGTTGAACTTTTCTTAGGCTGCTGTTGTGGTTCTCACTCTGGGTAGAAGCTAGTTCTGCTCTACAGCAGTTTATCAGCTTCAGGGGACAGTGGTGCTGCTCTATGTAGCAGTGGTTCTGTAATAAATGAAACATAAATGAACACTTTCGTGTCTTTCCACAATTTGAGAATTTATTGACTAGCAGTACATTCGCATGGTTCAGTGGCCGTAGCAGCAATTTGTCACATAATCCCTCCTGCTTTGGTAATCCGGCTGAGACAAATGTAGGTTGTTTAGTAATATTAACTCTCATGTCACATAGCACACAGCATACAGCAAGTATATCTATATGCATACATATGGTTTACAGTTTAAAAGGCTGTAAAAGTTTCCAAGGTTTTAGAAGCAGGCTGAGGGGAGACTTGATAGCAAACTAGAGTAGTGCTGGAGGACCCTGCACTTCTCAGGGTTGGAGAGAAGTTGCAGAACCCCGCTAAGGTGAAAGGCCAAACCAAGTCTTGAGTGGGAAAAAACAGGTTCCAATCTAAGTCAGGTGGGCAGCCTGGTGGCTGGGCAGTCAAGTAGGATGTGTCGGCAGCAGAGGATCAAGCCAAGAAATTCGAGGGACAGTTGGGGAATCCCCTGCTTGCTGGTTCTTGATGCACACACCTGATAGGTTGGTGTGGAACTATGCCTTTTCAGCCGTAGGAATCCATCACTTTACCGGGTCCAGGTGAGAGAGTTATGCCGTTTTCTTGGTCTTGTGCGTCTGGTGTGTTCTTGGGCCTTGTTCCCTGCTATGAGTTTAATACACCGATGTTCTCCCACAGTTTGAATTAATCCCCATAAATTTATAGGGTGACTTCCTTTCTACTCCCCAGAATAAGGTATTCATCAGTCTGCTGAGTAGATGCTGTTGCCTGACAGAGAGTGCTGCTTGTGGGCCTACCCGAGGGAACTGTCATCCATCTCCCTCAAGATGGATTCAGAAGTATCAAGTAGTAAGCCGCCACATAAGAAAAACATGAGTGATAATAATAACATGCACTTGACTTGCAAAACACTTCTGTCTCTGATTTAATCCTTACAATGTTAATTAGAATCTGTAATTAAAGACTGGGAGTCTTGGCAGAAACAACATTTTGATTACCTTAAGCAGATAAAAGTAGTTCTCATTTCCTTTAGGTTTTTTTTTTTTTTTTGAGGTCTCAGGTAGCCTACATTGGCCTCTAACTCCCTATGTAGCCAAGGATAATCTTGAACTTCTGAATCTCCTGCTTCAATCTCCCCAGTGTATTTATATGGTGCTGGGGATGGAACCTGGAACTTCATGAGTACTAGCAAGCACTCTGCCAACTGAGCTGCATCCCTAGCCCTGTCTTTAGGACTTGAAGCATAGCCTTAACGTTTCTAATTTGAAGTCTTAACTGCCTGTCTTGCCTGCCCTTAGGTTTTTAAAGCCTCCTTGCTCCTGCTCAGCTCAGTTCATGTGACTGTTTTTGGTTTTTGATTTTTAATGAAAATACTGAAAGTAGATCTCTTTGTCTGAGTTTCCTTGTAACTGCATTTGAAACCTGTCATTTAAAAGTTCCTGATATATCAGGCTACTACTTTGTGTAAAGTTGATGAAACTTGACCTTGATATATTGCTTTGCTTTAGATTTCTTCCTCAAGAGGTAATTTACTAGCAGCTAATTAGATTCATTTCAAGAGTAGTAGTCTTTCACAGTAAAAAAAATCCTTTTAAGAGAGACTCATCTGATTATGATTTCAGATTAACCTTTTTTTTTTTTTTTTGAGATGAGCCTAATCTGACCTCCATTTTTGTTTTGCTACGTAGCCAAGATTGACCTTGAACTTGTTGATCCTCCTGTTTCTATCTCCCCAAGTGCTTGGATTACAAGCATGGGGCACTACATCCAGTTTCTGTGGTAGTAGGGATTGAAAGGAGAGCTTTATGCATGCTAGGCAAGCACTCTACCAACTGGCTAGAACCTCAGCCCTGCATAAAACTCTTTGCTGCAATAAGTTATATAAATGCAGAGCTTAATTTTATTCTATTACATTTTCAATTGAATATTTCCACCATTTCCCTTTAGCTATCTCATAAGGCTTTGAACTTTATAGTTTTGTCCACTGAAGAAAATATGAATTACTTGGGGCTGGACTCCAGTGTAGTTAGATGTCTCCCCTCATTGGGTGCTACCATTTTTCTGTAGAGTATAGGAAGGAGAGTTCCCTGTCCTCTTCAGTGCAGCCTCAGAGTGATTCCTTACTCCAGGCAGTTCAAAGAATTTTGGAAACATAAGATGAGATTCATTTCAGGTGAGGCCAATAGTTTTTCAAGCCCCAGAATTTTCATGAATTCAAATAGTTGTAGTAGAGATATAAATGTCTTGTTGCCAAAATGAATCCTTTTCAAATTGCTAACACTTGAAGCTTGGTAAGTCACTTGTATGTAAACAAATAGTAGGTTCTCCTGTGTCCAGAGCATGTACTTGATAATACATGTTAGAAGACTACAGTATATTTCCTTCCCCGTCCATACACAGTAAAATTTTTAAGAAAGTGCTATGAGAAAGAAAGGTGAGGTCTACTTGGAGACTTTGATAATCAGGAGTCAGAAAAGAACACCTGGAGCTAAGCGTGGTGGCGCACACCTGTAGTCCCAGTACTTGGGAGGCAGAAGCAGGCGGATCTCTGTGAGTTGAAGGCCTTCATAGTGAGTGCACGGTCTACATAGTGAGTTCCAGGACAGTTGGGCTGCAGGGAAACCCTGTACCCTGTTTCAAAAAGACCAAAAGCAAAAAAAAAACTAGAAAAAACTCCTTTTCCTTAAAAGAGCTAATCCTTACAGGAAAAGTTCTATATTTTATTTATTTTTGGTTTGGTTTTTAGTTTATTTTTTTTTTTTCCCTTTGAGACTATGTCTCACTTTGTAGCCCAGGCTGGCTTTGAATAACAGTGATACTCCTGCTCAGCCTCCCAAGCACTAGAAGTGCTTGCACCCCAGTAGTCAGTGTTATGAAATTACGAAGTGCTGGAGGTCAAATCCAGGACTTTGTGCATGGTAGGCAACTCGGCCAACTGAGATACCTCCCAGCTCTCCAGGAAAGGCATTTCAAAATTTTATTTCAAAAAATGTAAATGAATGATAAAATATAGTTGTTGTTTTTTTTTCTAATAAGGAAATAGTATTTTGTCTCCCCCAAATAATGTTTCTTGGAAATTTTAGAGAACTCATTAATGGGGCAATGTTAACTGGAGTTGTATCTAATGCTACCTGTGTTAAAGAGCATGGTCTAAGTCTTAACTATGTTAGAGATGAGCTGTACTTATCTCTAGATTTCATTTTCACTGTATCATTTATAATTAATATCTTATTTCCATGTATTTTAGTCCTGGAATGGCCAAATATCACAGTGAAGTTCATAGTTCGCAACTGGGTGATTCAGTTATAGAAGGAGTAAGTGATCAAGTACTTGTGGCAGTGGTGGTCAGTTTCACTTTGATTGCTACCCTCCTTTATGCACTTTTCAGGTAAGACTAACAGGTAAATGAATTGAGATACTATATATTTTGATTTGGGGTTTTCGTTTTTGTTTTTTTGAGTCAGGGTCTTCCTATAGCCCCAGCTGGCCTGGAACTCACTGTATAGACCAGGCTGGTCTCAGCCACACAGAAATCTGCCTGCTTCTGAGTGCTGGGACTAAAAGTGTGTGCTGCCACCGCACCCCACTAAGATACTGTTTTTTTTCTAAGGGTCAATGACTCTTTGATTCTTCCTAGTAATAGCTGATATCAGTGATTTGTGTATACATATTCAAGTATTTTATTTTCTGTTAAGCTTTGAATGCTAACATTTTTTTTTCCTGACTTACTAGAGAATATTTAAATTCATGGTCCATATTTTGATTAAAATACTAATATTTTCTATGAGAGTATTCTAGTTTTAAAAATTTTATAATTGAATCTACCAGCTAGTCGGTGGTGTAGATAATAAGTGCAAAATATTTACATGGGGACTAGAGAGATGGCTCAGTGATTAAGAGCTCTGAATGCTCTTGCACAGGACCCAGGTTCGATTCCCAGCACCCACATGTTAGCTAACAACCGTCCTAACTTCAGTTCCAGGGGATCTGACACCCTCTTTTGACTTCCACAGGCATTGCACGACATGAATGCACTTACATATATTCAGGCAATACACTCATACACATAAAAAAATAAAGTAAAAATAATAAAATTAAATATTTACATGGGTGTGGGAGAAATGGCTCAGCTGTTAAGAGCACTGGTTGCTCTTGCAGAGGACCCACATTTGATTCCCAGCACCCACATGGTGACTAACAGTTGTCCGTAACTCCAATTCCAGGGGATCTGATGCCTTCTTCTGACCTCTGTGGGCATTGCACGGCATGGGTGTGCTCACATAAATGCAGGCAATACACATAAAATAAAAAATAATAAAATATTTTAAAAAATACATGGAAAAACTGAACCAAAAAGGAAAACTAAAAACCATATACCATAAATGAAATTAAGGTTAGAATGTATTTTAATTAATTACATGTAATTGTTATAGAATCAGGAATGTTTAAAAGCCTCAGATGTTTATATACCAATATCACTGATTTTTGTAGCTTTTTAATCTTCAAAATTACAAATCAGTGTATTTCCTATAAAAATTGGAAAGAGCAGGTGAGATAACTTAGTGGATAAAGGTGCTTGCTGTCAATGATGACCTTAGTTCAGTCCATGGAGCCCACGTAGTAGGAGGAGAGATGATGCCTAAAAGTTGTCCTCTGTGTTAAGGTTCAGATAGCCCTGCCCCCTCACCAACAGGATCCCAAGGACTTCTCATGATCCTGAGAAAAGGGAACCTACCTGATAAGCACCTTGGTCTTTGAAGCAGACTTTTCTCCACTGTTTGGCCAACATAGCAGGCTTCCCCTTTGATCTCTAAAGAGAACAGGTTTTAACAGTCCTGACCTCCCGCTTCCCCCCGCTCAACTTTAAAAAATATATATGTATCTTCCTGCCTTCTGTGAGAAGCAGAAGTCTCCCTGTGTAAAAAGACCCCAGCTCACGACCCAGGGCAGACATTTTCCCTGCCCAGAAGGGAATCTGTTCCATGTGTTCCTTTGCTAATAAACCCTATTTTGATGGAGTTTTAGCTGTACCTCTGTGCCTCATCATCCATTCGCTCTTTCTCCGCCAACTTTTTACCTATCACTCTGAACATGAACACACACACACACAAGTAATAAAAAAGGGCACACTTATTTTTTTTTAAAAACCTGTGAAAAAATTAAATATATGTACACATGAGTGCAGGTACCTGCTGAGCCCAGAGGCATTATATCCCCCAGGAGCTAGAGTTATAGGCAGTTGTGAGCTGCCCAAAGTGTGTTGGGTCCTATGCAAGGGCAGTATGTGGGGCTGGAGCTATGGCTCAGTGATTAAGAGCACTTACTGCTCATTAAGAGGACAGGAGTTTGGATTCAGTGCCCATATCAGACAGCTCACAAACACCTGTAACTCTATAGTTTTAAGGGATCTGATGTCCCCTTCTGGCCTCCATGGGCACTTCTACATACATTTGTGCATACACACACAAACACACAAAAATAAATCTTTAAGGAAAAAAAATTCATGTGTTCTTAGCTGCTGTGCCATCTCTCTCTACCCCCCTCTTTTAAAAGATCTTTTTGTCATCATTTTTTAAATTATGTGTTTGTATGTGTGGGTGTGGGTATGTGCATATGAGTGATGGTGTTTTCAGACACCAGAGTGGTCAGATCTTCTGGAGCTGGAGCTAAAAGTATTTATGAGCTGTCCGATGTGAGTGCTGAGAACCAAACTCAGGTCCTCTGTAGGAAGAGTATGTGTTCTTTTCTTTTGTGGTCTTTTTTGAGACAAGGTCTCCCTGTAGCTTCAGCTGGCCTAGAACTCACTATGTAGACCAGACCAAGCTGGCCTTGAACTCATAAGAGATCTGCTTGCCTCTGCCTGCCAGCGAGTATGTGTTCTTAACCACTGAGCCATCGCTCCAGCCCCTGGGATAACATCATCATTATCTCAGTAGGATACTTTAAATTTTCCTTATTTATTTACTTATTTATGTTATTTTGATTTTTTGAGACAGGATCTCACTCTGTAGCTCAAGCTGTCCTGGAACTCACTTTGGTAGACCAGGGTAGCCACCACGCCCAGCTTAGTAGAATGCTTTATAGAATTGTCTTCCATAGTGTATACATGGGGATATGACGGGGAAAAGTCAGTTTGTAACTGGTAGGCAGGTTGTTCTTAGGAATACGGCCTGTTTTAGTATAAGTCAAACACGTGACATTATGTATTGCTGTAGGACTCTGTCTCTGAGCATATTCTATTCATTTTTTAATAGCAACTAGGGTGAAGAAGATGTAAGATGCATGCTTACCAAATTGTCAGTTGGAAGAGCAGCTAATATACTGGTGTAACAGAATTAGGATTCAGAAGTGGTCAGACAAAACAGAACAAACCACAAAAGCTTCAGCACATAAATCTATAGTCAGCTGATCTTTAACAAGGGTGCCAAGATCACCCAGTGTGAAAAGATTTCAACAAATGATCCTGAGACAATAACCACATCAAAATAGTGAAATTAGACCTGCTTACTCTAAATAGCTTAAACTTCTAAATGAACTGGGGCTGGAGATCTGGCTCAGCAGTTAAGAGCACTGATGGCTCTTGCAGAGGACTGGGCTCCACATGGCGGCAAACCACCATCTGTAACTCCAGTTCCAGGGGATTCGATGACCTCTTCTGGCCTCATGAATGCACTTACATACATCATGCAGGCAAAACACAAAACATAACTTTATCTTGGGTGTTTTTATACATATAAAAAATTAAAAGTAAGTAAAAATTAAACAAACTTCATATATGTATCCCTCAGTGGTAGGATGCTTGAGCACACATGAGGTCTCTGTAGGGGTGTGACAAGTCTGGCAGTCTTTGAGATGAGGGTGCACTGACAATACTTAAAAATTTTTTTAACATACCAGCTAATGCTGTAATTGTTGCTATGGTTTCATTGGTGTTTATCTTTGGAGGGTTCATATGTTAGAAACTTGATCTTCAGAGTGACCGTGGAGAGGTGGTGTGGATCTTGTAAGAGGTAGGGACTAGCGGGAAGATACTTAAATCAAGGTGTTACTCTTAGAAGAGATCACCATAGTTTTGGTTGTCATGAAAGAGCAAGACCAGCTCCTCCACAACCTCCTCCCTGTGTTTCTGTTTGCTCTTCCTAGAACTGGAGGCTCCTAGTTCTCTCTGGGCTATCTACAACCTAACTGCTTTACTTTGCTTTTTGGTGGTTTGTTTTTAGTTTTGTTTTTTTTCTTGTTTGAAGAATAAAGAAGAGCCCTGAGTTGTTGGTAAACTGTTATGGCACATGTACTTCTGTTTTGCTAGTCCCAATACCTTCCTCAGCAGAGACTTCTAAGATCTACTTGGTATCAAATGCCCTGTCATAGTCTCTTAGCTGAGGTGAATTGTGTTTGAGATCTTCTAGTTTAGTTTTTCAGTCTGTGTTTTTTTTTTTTAATTATTTTTATTTTGTGTGTATGAGTGTATTGCTTGCATGTAGGTAGGTACACCCTTGTACAGTGCCTGTGGAGATCAGAAAAGGATGTCAGATTCCCTGGAACTGGAGTTACGGGACAGTTGTTAGCCACCATGTGGGTCCTGGGAACCAAACCCAGGTCCTCTGCAAGAACATCCAGTGGTCTTAACCATTGAGCCATCTCTCCATCCCCTTCAGTCTGTGTTTTACAAACTTTTGTTTCTTTAGTCCTAGCATTTAATTATGTGAACTCCCAGGCAACTTGGGCTGTTAGTACTTCTTTGGCTGTATTTTGACTTTTCAAATATTCTACTAGATTTAAGAATTCTTACATATTGCCTTACATGGAATAAAATTAATGAAAGACTTTCTAGGCATGTAGTTCATGCCTGTACTCTAGAAATTCATTGATATTTTCTTGTCATTGGAAAGGGATTGGTTTTTGAGAAATGCTGTTTTGCTAGTCACTGGCATTTATGTGAGATGTTTCCTGTGTTAGAGTATTCCTTGATATACTGAGTTCATATACAGTAGTTTTCTAGATCACTTATTCAGTAACAGGAATGTAGCTTATTTTATTTTATTTTATTTTATTTTTTTGAGCCATGGTCTCATGATGTGGCTCTAGGTGGCTTGGAACTCATTATGTAAATAGGCTCGCCTCCAAAGTGGGGTGATCCTCCAGCCTATGCCTCCGCTGGGATTACAGTAATTCACCACCACATTCTGCTGCTTAGAATGTAACTTATTTTGAAATGAGAGTCCATCAGGCTAAGTATGGTGTCTTGGCTATAATCCCAGCATTCAGAAGATTAAGGAAGGAAGGTCCTAAGTTTGAGGCCAGCCTGTACTATATTAATAGCAAGACCCTATCTTGGGTTTGGGAGCGTCTACTAAAATTGAAGGGACTTAAATTGTTTAAGAAAATTCTTTACATGTACTTTTTACTTCTAGTTGGTATTTGACTGTAAGTTGCCTTTGTGTCCTCACTGAATTACTGGTCATACTTTGTCACCTTTCTCTTCTAGAACTTGCAGTTTTATATGACAGCCTCCTAAGTGCTGAGATTACAGAAACAAGCCACCATGTTCAGCTTAAGCAAAGGCTCTTTATAAAGACATCCCCTGAGATTGTTCTTCCTTAGAATATTGTTCATGATATTTAAATTTAGTAAAAAAAAAAAGTTTATAGATGAGCTGGGCGTGGTGGCGCACGCCTTTAATCCCAGCACTTGGGAGGCAGAGACAGGCAGATCTCTATGAGTTCAAGTCCAGCCGGGTCTACATACTGAGTTCCAGGACAGCTGGGGCTACACGGAGACCCTGCTAAAAAATTAATAATAATAATAATATAATAATAATAATAATCCCATTTCTTTATATTAGCCACCAACTTCTGGCCTTTGATTCTCCATTGTATTTGTTAAGATGTTAATGGTATGCTCAGTTTTGAGTTTTTTGCAGCATTTAATTTTAATTTCTGCTCTTCTTCCTTCCTGAAAATTTAGGAAAAAGACCTAATTAGATGTGGAAAAGTGCTCAGATGTATTTATAATATGTAGAACTACATAACTGCTTATTTTAAAGAGATTTCATAAAGGAAATGTATTAATTGTTCTGTATTATTTGTTAGCTTGCAACTGCAACACATCCCCAAAATACCAGGCTAGATTTTACCATTTACCAGTCAAACCTGAAATCAGCTGATGATCATGGATTTGGAGGCAGTTACTCTAGAGTAGTCTAGAATGCACAATCCTGAATTGCAGTGCAGTTGTGTTTCCTCAGTTATACTTAAGTTACCAATAGTTCTTGTTTTTTTTATAAAAAAATTATTTATTGGGCCAGTGGTCAGTGGGTCAAACGTGAGTTCAGTTCCCAGAACCCGCATATGTTAAATGAAAAGCAATTCCCACAAGTTATCCTATGACCTCCACATGCTTGCTGTAGCACACATACCCACACGTAATGCACACACCACACACAATAAATAACTTAAAATTATTAATGGGTGTTAGGGGTGCGTGTCATGGCACATGTGGAAGTAAGAGGTCATCTTTGTGGAGCAGGTGCTCTCCTTCCACCTTTGCATGGGTTCTAGGGCAGTCCCCTGTACCCCTGAGCCCACCTCAATGGCCTGTGATTGCCAGTAGTTCTAGGTCAAAAATTAGACCAATATAGGAGATGGTTTAATCTGATAATGTTCAAAATCTATTTTACTCTATTCAACAGAAATGTACAGCAGAACATTCATCCCGAAAACCAAGAGCTAATCAGGGTGCTTCGAGAGCAACTTCAAACAGAACAGGTAAGTTTATACAAGTATGTACATTTATGTAAGACGTAGTTGTTATAAGTCCCTTGCATATGCAGTGGTGATGAAGCATTAGTAAATTACTTTTGAAAGTCACCAGCTTCTTTCCTCCTCCAAATTGCCTTACATTATTCTACAAATTACTTATTTTCAGATTAAGCAAATTGCTTCTTGGTGGAGGAGGCATTGAGGTGGTCTCATGTATTCTAGTCTGACCTAGAACTCACTGTGTAGCTGAGGGTGGCCTTGAACTCCTGATTCTCCTGTCTCCATCTCCCAAGTGCTACTGGCAAGAGTCACCAAACCCAGCATCAAATTTCCTAGTCTTAATCTATTATAAATACATGATTTTTATTAGAAAGAGAACTTTTTTTTTTTTTTTTTTTTTTTTGTCTGTCGTGAAATAGGGTTTCCCTGTAGCCCGACTAGCCTGGAGCTCACTATGTAGACCAGGTGGCCTTGATCTCATAAAGATCCACTTGCCTCTGTATCCTGAATACTGGGCCTAACGGTGTGCACTACCATGCCTAGCTTAAGAGAACTGTAATTATTGTGATTGGTCTTAACTGAAATGAAGTAGAAATTCTTTTTTTGCTTGTTTTTGAAAGAGGGTCTCATTATGTATCCCTGGCTGCCTGGAACTCACTATATAGACCAGGCTCACCTCAAACTCACAGAGATCCACCTGCCTCTGTTTCCTGAGTGCTGTAATTAAAGTTGTGTGCCACCATGCCAGGCAAAGTCCTATTTTAAAGAAGGATGCAACCCTTGAGACCAAAGATAGGACTGGAAGGGGTGATTCTATTTTGTTTGCCCCCTCCTCCCTTTTGTGTCAGTGGGTCAGAGTTAACAGAGCTAGTAAGGTAGAGAAGAAAACTTTCCTCCTGTGCCTTTTCTTCACTTTTTACCAGATAGAATCTCTAAGAACTAAAAGTATAATGTTGCTTCTGCACACTGGAGTAGTGGAATATTATATACCTTCATATCAACACAGTTAAATCAAAATAAAAGGTAGATGTTGCTTTCCTCCTAGCACCACAGGGGAAAATGTTTTCCTTCTCAAACCTTAGTTTCAGTGAAGGTTTTATAGTTTATCTATTTGCCATTGACTTTTGCCTTATGCTAGACATTGTTCTAAGCATTGAAAATTAGTTGTGGACAAAAGAGATAAAAATTCCTACCTTCAGGAAATTTCAGTTCAGTGATATAAGAATAGTTTAGTACTTTGTTTCAAAGCTACTGTTAATAATTGATATTTGAGATGATGTTTTATTTTTTTATATACAGTTTGTATTTTTTAATATTTTACTTATTTTTTATTTTTTTTAACAGAGCATAGGGTAGGGGTTTATTTACAGAAGAGTGGGTGCCCCACATTTATAGCTGTGCTGTTGGGATAGTGTTTTATAATCTACAAACATCACCCTGCTTCATCTTCAGACATAAGGCAATTATTACTCACATTAAAGCATTAGATCTGTAAAATTTCTATAAATTCACACTAGCGATTACACAATAGGTTCAGCTATACAGTTTTTCTGGACTGAGGTGAGTTTTCTCGACTTCTCCCACCTACTCTTCTTTTCCTTAGGCATTCCTTAAGGTTGCTGGAGAGGTGGCTCAGTGGTCAAGAGTGCTTGCTGTTCTTCTAGGGGATCTGGATTCCCAGCAGCCACATCAAGCAGCTCACAACTCTAACTCCAAGGACTCTGAATATCCCTCCTTTAGTTCAAGACCAGCCTGGTCTTTATAGTGAGTTCCAGGCTAGCTGGGGTTACAGGGAGGCCCTGTCTCAAAAAGTCCAACAAAAACCAAAAACCAAAAACAAAAACAAAAACAAAAAACAAAAAAAACCCCACAAAAACCTCTCTTATTACAGAAAGAGCAATTTTTTGTTACTGTTAATTTGTCTCTTAGTTCAGGTGCTGGCTCACAACTCAGTAGGCACACCAGTATGGCCTTGAATTTGCACTGGTCCTCCTGCCTCTGCTTCCCTGGGTTACAGGTTCACAGCTACTGTGCTGGGCTTTGTTTTGTTCTGTTTTGTTTTATTTTTTGAGAGAGCCCCAGCTGACCTAGAACTCCCTGTGTAGACCAGGCTGGCCTCAATCTCACAGAGATCCACCTGCCTCTGCCTTCCTAGTGCTGATCAAAGGCGTGCGCCACCACACCTGGCTTCCGTGCTGTGCTTTTGTTGTGATTTTTCTTTTAAAAAAAGAAAAGAAAAGAAAAAAGAAACTGAAGAAGGTAGAAAGGAGAGGGTTAAGTGCTATACATGTTAAGGCATTACCACAGATACGACTGTACCACTGTGGGTTATATTTTGATAATTTTGTGCTGTCTTTAAAAAGGGCTGGGTGTGGTAGCACATGCCTTTAGTCCCAGCACTTGGGTGGCAGAGGCAGGCAGAACTCTGTGAGATCAGCCTAGTTGGTTTATACATCAAGTTCCAGGCCAGCTGGGACTACAGGGAGATCCTGTCTCAAAAAACCAACAACAAAAAAGAAAAAAATATGAGTTTAATTATGATTTGCTAACCTTGTGGCAAAGGTACTACAGTGAGTCCTACAGTGAGTGGAGTTTTTGCCCTCATGACACTTACCTTCCAGGAGGAGATCTGATGTTGCCTGCTTCTTGTGCTAGCAGTTGTACTGAACACCACTGTGTGATCAACTATGGAATGCGTATATGTATATGTTTGTTTGGGTTTGGTGTTTTGAGATATGGTCTCTTGATGCTCAGGACTAGAACTGGTTATGTGGCCATGTGTGACCTTGAACTTCACATCTTCTTGTTTCTACATTCCAGGTGCTGGGATTACAGAACTGTGCACAGAGAAACATTAACATTTATTAGCATAACTATTACTAAATTCAAGTTACCAATATTGTTAAATTGTTTCTGCGTTCAAAATTGGCAATTCTTTTCTGAAAGTTTAATTCTGGTCTTATGTAAGGTAGAACATATATGCAACACTTGTTAGGAGGCTAATAAATGAGAGATGTGAAAGTGACATCAGATACACACTTGTAATCCCAGCACTTGAGAAACTGGGGAGGGAGGAGTGCTGAAATTCCAAATCTAACAGGACCCTGTCTCAAAACAAAGTTTGAAACATTAAAACTGAATACTTAGAATAGTAGTTTGATATTTCTTTTTCTTTTTTAGTGGTATCGAGGATCAAAGCCAGGGCCTCATGTGTGCTTTCCCACTGAGCTACACCCCAGCCTGATATTTCTTATTCTTTATGGATTAGCTTGTGGTGCTCAAGATAGTTTATTCATTCCAAAAGAGTAAAAGACAAACCTCAAGTTAATCTATGTTTTTTCTTTAAATTTGTGTTTAGGAAGTAGGGAGGGTAGCATGCATAAATAAAACAATATAGCTTCATAAGTTTCTCAAACCTGTAAAACCTTAAGCTATTGTGTTTATATAATTTCTGTTCCGAGAGAGTATAAGGCGTCATTGTGCACACATGTCCTCTCACCAGGATGCCCCTGCTCCTGCTCGACAGCAGTTCTATACTGAAATGTACTGTCCAGTCTGCTTACATCAAGCCTCCTACCCTGTTGAAACGAACTGTGGACATCTTTTTTGTGGTAAGCAAGCAATACTATACTTGGTTAAAGTGAGTAGACCAAGACCTATTTGCGTATATAAGCTGGATTCCTAATTTAGCACATTTTATATTTTCTGAGGAAAGTAGATTGCTTCTAATATTATTTTCTAGTTGTATGTCATCAAAGTATATTTAGCATCTAAATAATATAATAAGGACTGGAGATGTAGCTTATTTGGTAGAGTGCTTGCTGAGTATGCATGAAGCCTTGGATTTGATCTCTACTGCTGTATAAACAAGGCATAGAGGCACATGTCTTAATCACAGCATTCAGGAAGTGATAGGAGGAGAATCAAGAGTTCAGAATCATCTTCTACTAGATAGCAAGCTCAAGACTAGCCAGGGTTACATGACACCCAGTCTCCAATGGTACTAAGTAATAATTTGTTTTCTGTTGAGTCTGTTATCATGTGGATTCCACGTTTTGAAAAAACAGAGCAATTCAATTTCCCAAGTCATCAGCAATGTGTTTCTTTGCACAGCAGTTCAGATTTTGTGGTAACATTGGGCTCACTGAGCCCATGGTGGGGACCTTGTTACTCTTCACTTTCTGGTAATTTTATTTTATTATTCAGACTTTTTAGGGCAAGATTGTTTCTTCAGGAACCAAGCCCCAAATTTCTACTACTTATCTTTACTCTGAGTCTTTCGTATGTGTGTGACCTTAAGGGAGTTAGAGAATAAGAAGCCTAGATCATGTACTGGCACAGGAAGAGCGCATTTCACACAGTGTCATCATCATGAGGTGCTTTCTCATTGGTTTTCCTGGTCCCCAGAAAGATTTCATAGAAAGTAGTAAGATGCTATTGTTTCTTGTTATGGCTATACAAGATTGGGAGGTACCCACTGTGTGCTGGATGTTTAACATACTACTGTTGGCTGCCTGTATGACAGGAGAAAACACCCGGGAGACCGTGTCAGTGGACGGCTCATTTTAATATTGGCAAAGAAGTTTTTATAGGGAAGTTTTGCAGGCAAAGAGGCGGGGTTGGGTTTCTGGTGGGCAGCAGGTAGGGGGAGGGAGGGGGCTTCTAAGGCCTTTGTCCTCTCGTCCGGTCACATGATCTACAAGAGATCTGGTTAGGATTAAGGGATTAGAGACCTAATAGTTTTGCCTGGGGGCTGTTTGATAAGAGACGGTGTGTTTAGAATGGAGCGCCCGGCTCCTGCCATCCTCACTGGGAGGTCTTTGGTATGGCCATGCTCTACATTCCAGGCACTCCTGACTTATCCCAACAATACTCCATCTCATCTAACGCCACAATTGAGAAATTGAGGCTCGAAGAAGTTAATATAGTGACCTAGAAGCCAAGCAACAAAGATCTGTCTTTAAGCTGGGCTCAATTCTGATGTGACTTGTGGCTTACAGGATGAGCACTCTGAAACTACTCTTTATTTAGATATGTCCTATTAAACCCATTTTTTAGTTGCAAGTTGAGTAACAAAATGTTTTTCTTTTTGTTTTACCCTCTGAACCACAGAGTCTAAGTAAAAATGACTAGCAAGTAGTGGAAGGTATTAGACGCAGTCTACCCTGCTAGTTCACATATTTGAAAGAGGTCTTAATTATTCTCAGTGTATACCAAAGTTTTACTTAAAGACTAATTTAAAGTATAGCATACAGTAACCCTATATTAGTTTTTTTCTCCCCTTTGTTTAACTTCAGTATAAAGTTCTTAGTTTTGTTATTGATGCTGTTGGGGATGGCAGCATTTGAAATCCCTATGTAGCAGTGAGTTTTCCGTACATTGTGCTGTTCTAGAAATCTTGTTCCATCTTTGTTCAGCCATTAATTCCAACCTCTTCCCTGGATGTTTTTTTGCCTATATGGTTTTTGTTTTGATTTTTTTTATTTTGAGACATGGTCTTGCTTTGTACACCAGCCAGATGTTAAACTGGCAACCCCCCCACCTTGGCCTCTGAAATGCTGGGATTACAGGTTTGTGCCGCCATGCCCAGCTTCACAAAGGTTTTTGCTTACATACCTAACATATGATAAAACACCTGATTATCTGTTGGAAACTTATTATCTATCCTTTCCAAGGGAGGACACTTTTCTCAACCATTCCTAGGACCTTCTCTGAACTATACTGATGATGATGATGATGATGTGTGTGTGTGTGTGTGTGTGTGTGTGTGTGTGTGTGTGTGTGTGTGTGTACGCGCGCACAGGTGCCCATGCCCCAGTGCATGTGTAGAAGTCAAAGGACAAACTTGACTGCCACCCTTGCCTTCTACCTTGAGAAAGGCACTCTTGTTCACCACAGCACAGGCCTGGCTAGCTGGCCTGTGAGCTTTTGGGGATTCTTCTGTCTCTGCCGTCCATGTCTACACAGGAGCATTGGAATTACAGTGTGGCCACTGTGTCCAGCTTCACATGGGTTCTGGGGACCCAAACTCCCGTCCTCATGCTTGAATAGCAGGTGGTTTACCCACTGAGCCATCAGTTTCAGTCTTTTAATTGTCTGCTGGGGATGCCAATGAGCATCAGAACAATGGAAGATCAGATGGGGAAGGAGAGTTAATAGCCACAGAAAAGGCAGAGGCCTTACTGCCCTCAGATCTCTGGCGGGTATTTCTAATACATCTGACCCTCCTCTTTTGAGTCTAGATATGGCCACAGTCATCCTCTAGGCGGGTGTTAGCAATCAGTGAGGTTTGGCAGGCAAAATGACCTTAGTTACCAACTCAGGCTTAGCTGATTCACTGAGTAGATAATTCTGTCATTTGAAAGATGGTTGTATTGTGTTCTTGCTTTTACCTCTGGGTCTGAGGTAGTAGGGTAGATTGCTTCTGAGATCCTGTTCTACTTGTTAGGTACTTTTTTCTTTTGAGACAGGGTCTCATATATCCCAGGCTGGCCTCAAATGTGCTTTGTAGCCACGGTGACCTTGAACTTGTGATCCTCCTGCCTTTATCTCCCAGTTCCTGGGTTTACAATCATGCATCACCATGCCTGGTTTATGTGGTAGAGGAGATTGAACCTATAGCCTGTGCATGCTAGGCTAGGTTTTTTAGTTTGCTGGGCATGGTGAACAGGCCTTTAATCCCAGCACTCCGGAGGCAGAGGCAGGCAGATCTCTGTGAGTTCAAGGCCTGCCTGGTCACATAGTGAGTTCCAGGACAGCTGGGGCTACAGGGAGATCCTGTCTCAAAAAGCCAAAAAGAAAAAAAAAAAGAGAGAAGTTTAAACCTAAAGTTTAATGTTATTCACGTAGTGCCTGTACCACTTTTTGAGGTCATTATAAACTTCTTGTAGGTATTGTTACTAATGTTAATTGTTTTTCTTGAGTATCTTTGTGTCTATATATGTGTATGTATTCATGTTGGTGTACGTGTGTGTGTGTGTGTGTGTGTGTGTGTGTGTGTGTGTGTGTGTGTTTATAGATGCCAGATGTCAACCTCAGATGGTGTTCTCAGGGTGTCATCCACCCTTGCTTCTTTTTATCTTTGTGTGTATATGTGTGTATGCATAGGTGTGCATGCATATGGAGGTCAGATGTCCATGTCAGGTATCTTCCTCAGTCACTCTATATTTTTTGAGACAGGGTCTCTTCACTTAACCTGGAACTTGCTTATTTGACTAGACTGGTTGGCCAGCAAGGCCAGGAATCCTATCTTCAGCTCCCCAGCTCTGGGAGCACAGGCATGTAACTACAGCACCTAGATTATATATATGATTATATATATATATATATATATCATATATTTAAAATACACATTTTTAAAGTATATATACATATATGTGTATATATATATATATTTAACCTAGGTGCTGGGGTTGGAACTCAGGTCCTCATATTTACAGTTGTCACTGGAGTTCTCTTGGGGTGTCTTGTGTGATCAAACAAACCATATAACATATTTTATGTGAATTTATTATGGTTTATGCCCTTGGGTAGGGAGGGGATAAATGGGGGGACTTACATAGAAGAGCACACCCGGCACCCAGCTCTCCATGGCTCAGCCCGCCATTCCAGATCACTTCTGCACCTGCCCACAGTCTCCGTTAACATTCATCCACACATCTTGGGCCCACAGTCTCGCCTCAGTTTGGTAAATGCCCCCTCTCATGTCCATGGGGGTGAGATGCCAAGGACCATCTTTTTCTCCATGCCCACCACCGTGTGTTTGTGGAGGCTCACGGCTTCTGTCACAAGATGGCTCCCAGAAGCCCCTCCACAGTCAGTTCTCCACAGCAGGCCCTGCCCCTTGGAGGAAACAGGACCCCTGGGGAACACACTCCACCCTTTTCCTCTGCTCTTACAATCTTCCACTAAGGTCCCTGAACCTTGGAGGGGGTGACAGATGTAGGGCGATCTCTCTTATATCATGATGAGATAGTGACTTCTTGGGCCTCCCCATTAGTTGTCTTTAGGCCGTGGCCATTGATCTATCTCAGTGGTGTTTCTTCTACTATAAAGACAAATGGAAGGAAGTAGACACATTTAAACAAACATGAATGTAAATACAAATGCCTAGAAGATATCCCAGTAGGTGTACTATATTCATTAAATAGAATACTTGTGATGGCTTCCCCACTAGGGCCTGTAGCTTTTCTTAACACAAGGCATTGCCCTGGTTTACAGCACCAGATGTGAGTTCCACCCCTGGGAGCGGGCCTTATCCAATTAGAAATTTGTCAGTTGTACGTATGTTGGTCGAGCCATTATTGCACTTGAGGGCATTGATTGGCATGTTCGTAGTGTGCAGCATGCGGGGTCCATTGTTGAGTAGAACCATAGGGGATCCTTTCTTTCCCACCCATCTGCATAGCGCCTTCTGGCAATATGAACGTTATCCATCCAGTGGCATGGAGTTTTTTGGCTTAGTCTCAGCTCCATCTCCTCTTCTTCTGTGCTTGCAACATGCAACATCTTCAGCAACATGGCCTTACCGACCTTTCTGATGTACATCCGACATTAGTGGCAGTAGCCTTGGTGAATTTAAAGACCTCTAGGATCTCTCTCTGACCAACAG